CAATTAGACGTTCGTCATGCGAGACTAACACCACACCGCCCTGAAATGAGAGCAACGCATCGGCCAGTGCTGCTATTGTTTCCACATCCAGGTGGTTGGTCGGTTCATCAAGAACCAGCATGTTGGGACTGGGAAAAGGAAAAAACAGTACAGAAATTATGCTCAATTTTAGCCTGGACAATTGAGGGGATGACCATGTAGTGCGAAAAAATAAAAGTGGGGTCCGAAAGCACGACCTCCAGAGCAATGTAATGGTAACCAATTCCGTCTACCCAGCACCGTTGGGATTCTCTTGCAAGAAATGTGTCACCCTAATTCTTATTAATTCTGTGCCACAGAGCAGACATTTTGAATGTCAAACCTCAATAGTTGTCGATGGGACAGTAGTAGAAGTACGCTAAGTGACGGGTGAGTAACAGAGAATGGCTGTCCTCCGACTCGATGTTGGAATGTCCTACTGGGGACTTCATGTGATTTGTTACACTCTCAGACTTAGGTTGCCGACTCCACGCTGAAAACATCGCTATATTGTATGGTCCCTGCAGAGAGTGGAGGTTTTATAACGTAGGGGTTCAGCGGTTGATGAAACAGATGTAAACTCGCCTGAACAAAAGCTACCGATAGGGAATTGATATGCAGAAACTGCCCGGCAATGCGCTACGGGGTAAAAATTACAGCAATGCCACCGATAAAGAAAGGGTGAAAATAAGGAGAATATTTCATTTTGCGCCGGTCGATTTCAGGTTTTTTCTGGAGGGATGTTAGATATTTCAGAAATTTAACACGTAAAACAAAACCCATCTGTGTGATAAATCACGCGCTTTCGCGTTACTTGGACGCGACAGGGAGGTTTTCGTTAAAAGACAATGCCAGTGTGACACTGCAGCTGGTTTAACTTGATCGGTTAGAACGATATTTTCATTGAGACCCCGTCCGCTCAAGGCCATATTGGAATATCTCCCTCTTCCGTGTGTGCGTGACTTGTCTTACAGCTCCATCGTTCTAATCCTGTTTTCCTTCATACGATTGAAAGTTACCGCTAGGTACACACACTTATGCGCTTTCGGGAGCTTCCATTTTCGAATGTGACAGAATACGAGGTTAGCGCAATCACCGAGGAATCGCACTTACTTGGACATGCACATGGCAGCAAACGCTACTCTAGATTTTTGTCCACCGGACAGACTACCGATCGGCTGCATGGCGAGCATGTCTGTGATATTGAAGCCAGCCAATTGAGACCGATAGACTTGTTCCGTTTGACCGGGGAACTTTCGCATCAGAAACTCCAAACTATTTAGACCAAGATCCAGTTGATCCACATGATGCTGAGAAAAATACCCCAGACGTAGGCCTCGATGTGCATGACGCAAACCACTAGTTGGTTCCAGTTGGCCAAGCAGTATTCGCAGAAGAGTTGTCTTACCAGCACCGTTTTCACCAACCTGGAAAATAAAACGAAAAATCATCCAGGTTACTCATCCTTCAAAAGACGTAGAGTGCATACAATTTTACCTGGTATTCCGCAGCTAATTAAGGAATAGAGAGAGCATTTATTGATTGCGGGGACCGGAAACTGCTACTCCACACGACAGACACCGTTTATGATCAAAACAGAAAAGTGATCTGACAACACCAGTGAGCCCCATAAGTACCACGACATCTACCTCAGTTGGGAGACACTGTAACGTGAACCGTTTCGAGGCAAAATACTTCCATATTCGAGCGCTTTTATTCCAAAAACTAGTACCGGACTAAAGAATAACGATAAGAATATGGATAAATTGGGTCACAAAGATCGAAGCATTTCATCTGAAACTGCAAGACGTAGATGTAGATTTTTTAGTTACAATTGTGATCACACCGATTCGCTCTCGGAAGTCTTGTTCATTTTTGGCCGCTTTGTGAAACCGCCAATCACGTCCTTTATGCGAACTCCAAATATACTAATCACAAAAGTAAGCAGCACCTCACAACACGTGTAAACAATCAAAATGAACGAACTGGGTCGGAGGCTTACGCATCAGTCAAAATATGGGTAAAATTAGTAAATAAAGTATCGACTAGTCTATCCAGACTTGGGAAAAATTATCACGGCAACTTACCACACAAATACGCGAATCCGATGATATACTTAGATCAACTTTGGATAAGACTGGTTTGTCCGGAAGGTAGTGGAAAGAGACCTCGTCCAATTGCAACACAGGTGATGACAGTTTATCACACGCGGGAAACCGTATCACCACCGTTGGATCTTTCTCTGGTGGAACGAGTGGTGGCAATCGTTCGAGCTGTTTAATTCGACTTTGAACAAGAGAAGCTCGTTTGGCATTGTAGCGGAACTTGTCAATGAATTGCTAGACAGAATGCGAGAATGGTTCCATTCTCGCATTCTGTCTAAGTGAAAATAAGCCACATATGAATGCTGTAAGAGAACAATTAGTGTCTAATGGAGATTCTCGTAATACGTACAGAACGGTACATAGCACATTCGGTGACAAATGATGAAAGCAAAGATTGGCAAACACCCCTGTTTTCATTCATCCTGACACAACATCCAATATGACTGACCGTACATCGAATAAACAAAAAGCAGCATAAAACTACCGGACAACGATACGGCGAACATCAACGACGCGTAAGAACGATGGCTGTGCGCGTGTG